TCTCTAGAAAAAAAAAGAAGAAGAAAGAGGACATAAAGTTGAGAAGGAAAAGTGGTAGGAGGATATAGGAGAGGTATTGGAAGGGAGAGGATAGGGTGTAGATTTGATCAAAACAAACAACATGCATGTAAGAAATTCTCAAACAATAAAATAATGAACACTGATTCAATTGAGCTCCCATTAGATTAATTCAGTTCAAATAGGTAAAGGAACTATTGTTCATTGTTCATAAACAAGGAATATTGGGAAGAACAAGGATTCTAGCCTGCATTATCTCCTTTATCTCATATACAGATACAACAGTCTTAGACTAAAATTGTAACAGGTAAAAAAAAGTAAACTTTGAGGGACATATTTCCTCATTGTCCCAATCTTCTAACATAAATTCTACAAACTTCAATGAACTACAGCCATTTTATACGTAATATCTTCCTTTTGGGAATTGGTTAATTTTAATTCTAAAGAAACTCTAAATTCGATGCTCATTTTAGACCTTTTTTTTAATGTGTTATTTTGATTGCCTTAAGCTTATTTGCATTCTGTTTTTATTTAAAATATTCATTTTTGTAAAAGACAAGTTTTTAGTTTAGAGGAATATTGAGCAAAAACTATTCCAGCAGTTGTTAAGAACTAAGAAATGTGTGCAATTGCTTACAAATCTTTAAGGATAAACAAGCATATAAAAGCAAGAATTAAAAGAATTATGTTCCTTTAATTTTGATATGAGGATTGAAAATACTTTAAAGTCCGCTTGCTGCTTGTCCTGTAGGGAATGGACTGCTGTGAAAAGCACAGAGACTATGAGACTAAGGGGCTGCAACAACAATCAGTAGAGGATGAAAGCAGCCTAAGCTATAGCCCAGCTTCTAAAGCCTTGGGTTCTAAACAAATGCAGAAAAGGCTTTTGAGTACAAAGACCAAACATTAATTCAAAAGTAGATGCATAATGAATATGATATGTGCTTACCCATTTAGTAACATGTAATTTCATTGCATCACTGGTTCTGAACATACAATATGCACACTTTGCATTGCACATGCTGTCATACCACATAAAACCAACAAAAAAATTATAAAAACCAACAAAAAATAAAAAAATTACATGAAAAGTCTAGCACAGATTCAGAACTTCTGTATGAATTATAGTGTTTTTTTTTCTGCTCTCATTATAGTACTTTAATTATGGAAAATATGCAATTTGCAAGCATCATTCCTCAGCATTAAATTATCAAATTAAAGCATAGTTGTAGTTTATTGAGCTAGAAAGTTTGGTTTTACTGCTGTTTGAGTTGCTGTTTTGAGTTTCTCAAAAATTATAAAATGAGTTTTGTCTTTGGATTAGAACAAAATTTTCAACATTTTGTGAAAAGCCCCTACATAAACTTGCCATTTCGTGTTACTTATTTATTTGAAGTGGCAGTCTCAGAATTAAGAATTAAAAAATAAAAACATCAGTCAATTCTGGAAATGGTTGAAGGTGCTCTATGTGCTTAAGTATAAATACTCAGCCAAAGTTAATCCTTTATATGAAAAGCTACTTCAGCTCATTGATTAAAAAGAATGGTGAAATAATACGTAGATCAAAGATTTGTTTCAAACCAAAGTTCTTATGATTTATCATCAGTAAGCATTTGATTTCCCTAAATATCTGATATATGTATATACCCATGGCTATATAAAATTCTAGAATAAAAAGTTGAAGCCTTAGACAGGAGTAGTGAACAGTGGTAAACAGTGGTCAGACTTTGAAGGGAAAGGGTCACTCAGAGATACTGAAATGGGTCACTCAAGGAATAATGGTAGAAATGTAATCAAAATCTAAAAGAATCTTAAGAAAATCATCCTTTAGCATAAATAATCACATGAACTAAACATTCAGAGGTTCTAGAACAAAATTTAGAACCTAAGTAATAGAAATTTCACTTTTTTACTGGACTTATTTTTAACTAGACAGAATCTGATGCTGTAAATTGCAAATGGAGATTTGAAGAGAAAGCCCACTACAACATTTAAGAGTACCTGAGAAATGCAAATTTCCCTAATAATATCCTATCACAGAAGTAAAACATTTGTGCTTACTAAGAAAGTACAAATCCAGAAGAAAGCATTTGCAAAGTTTTACTACAATCAGAACAAACATATATCTGGTCCACGAATTTCCCTGGTAACTAAGACAGGTAGTATAATTTGCACCACTCAATGAAAAATGAAGATATAGGGTAGTTTTTCCAAAATACCAAATAATTTCAAGATATCAGGAGTGGAAAAATAAAGCAAATAGAGAAGCTGCCCAAACATAAATGCACTCTAGGAAATTGGCTTCTTCTCCTGCCATGCAAAATTATTTATACATCCAATGTCATGTACATAAACTGTCTTAGTTAGGGTTTCTATTGCTGCAATGAAACATGATGACCAAAAAGCAAGCTAGGGAGGACACTGTAGTCATCACTGAAGGAAGCTAGAAAAGGAACTCAATCAGAGCGGGAACCTGGAGGTAGAACCTGATGCAGAGAACATAGAGGGGAGCTGCTTACTGGCTTGCTCCATGGCTTGTTCAGCCTGCTTAGAACTCAGGACCACTCGTCCAGAGATGGAACCACCCACAATGGTCAGGGCCGTGCCCTATCCATACTAATTAAGAAAATGCCTTACAGGAAGGGCTAAAAGTTCACAGCCTGACCCTGATCCTGCCTCATTCAATATTTCTTGATTCACCAAGATGTCAATCTTACGCACCACAGCTGGAGGCAACTCCTACCACCATGCTTTTCCCGCTATGGTGGATTACAGCCTGCAACTGTAAACCAAAATAAACCGTTCTCCTCTCAACTTGCTTCTTGTCAGGTACTTGGTTACAGTCTCTAGAGAAATAACTATATAGATGAATATTAAATATAAAAGTGGTAATAGATATACCTTTCTGTGCTGGGTTTGGTTAATTAAATAAAACAACCCACAAAGACAAAGATCTGCCATTCATTAATAATAATGTAATTCAGACCAACGGGCAAAACGCTTGAACAGATCCTTCTCATAAAAATATGTATGAATGATTTGTAAATACAAGAAAAGATATTCAGTCCCATTAGTCAACAGGGAAATTCTAAGTAAAATAGTGAAATATCATTATATTCCCCATTTAAATGCCTAAAATTAAAATGGTATAAAATGTTACCAGGATAGCCAAAACAACCCTATACAATAAAAGAACTTCAGGAAGCATCATCATTCCTGACTTTAAGCTCTACTACAGAGATATAGTTCTGAAAATAGCCTGGTATTGGCATAAAAATAGACAGGTAGACCAATGGAATTGAATTGAAAATTCTGCTATTAACCCACACACCTATGAACACCTGATTTTCGACAAAACAGCTAAAATTATACAATGGGGCAAAGACAGCATCTTCAACAAATGGTGCTGGCACAATTGGATGAGGGTGTGTAGAAGACTGCAGATAGACCCATGTTTGTCGCCATGCACAAAACTCAAGTCCAAATGGATCAAACACCTCAACATCAATCCAGCCACATTGAACCTCTTAGAAGAGAAAGTAGGAGGTACCCTTGAACAAATTGGTATAGGAGACTGCTTCCTGAACATAACTCCAGGGTCACAGACACTGAGAGAAACAATTAATAAATGGGATCTCTTCAAACTTAAAAAGTTGGATTTTGTCAAAGGTTTTTTTCCATCTTTTAATATGATAATTAACTATTGCCCATTATTATGTTTTTATATTATATTTATCATACCATTTGTTGAAACATCCTTAAATTATTGTAATGAATTCAACTTGATCATGATCTATGTCTTTTGTAATGCATTAATAATGTCTTTCTAAAAGTCTTCATAGAATGAGTCTGTATTGTCCCTTCTTTATTTTGTGGGACAACCTGAGAAGTAATGATGCTAGTTCATCTCTGAAGATCCTATAGCACTCAGCAGCCAGCCTCTATAGTCCTCAGTTTTTCTGTTTGGAACATTACATTACTACAATTTTAATCGTTTTGCTATGAGACTCCAGGACATTTGTGTTTTTACAAAGTATATCTGCTTAGTAATGAAGTGAATGTTGTTTTCTTGGTACCACTCACTCTTCTCTTTGGCCCTGCCAATGCCTTGACACTTCTGTCATCACATGTCCTCAAGATTTCTCTTTTCTCATTCTGCTCACTCAATTTTCTGGCTTCAATTCTCTCCCTCATATCTCTTTCTGAAATTTTATGTATTTAAAATATGCTTGTGACTGTTTACTATTGAAATATAAGTCCCTTTCCACTATCTCTCACAGTCCAAACAGTTTTCCAGATGTTTTCACCCTATTCTACAGGGTGACTAACATTAGCGATTGACACTCCACTGATCCATTATGTTCCTCCATCTAAATCACCAATACATTTCTGTCTTCCAAGGTATGCTATGCTCCCTATAAATCTCCAGGTATCAGATCATCAAAAGGAAAGAGTAGGTACAACAGAGGTACTTGGACCTACTACACAAAAGAGATGGACATGGAGACAAATCACAATTTCATCTTTACAAAGCACCAGCTTATGGGTTCTCCCCTCCCTCTACTGAGAACTAGACTTTCAATTTCCACTGAAAACTAGACTTCTTCCCATTTCAAGAATTTATTTTCTCCTGTTTAAGTTCACTCTTCTTTTTACAGTGTCTGAAAGTAGGAGTGCAGATAACTCATGTTAGACCTTCTTTTCTCATATGTACATCTAATGCTATTGATTTCCTTCCAGCCATTTTCACTGCATCCCACAGATTCTGATTGTACTATTTAAGCTCCAATCATTTCAAAAATTCTAATAAAATCATCCTCAAGCTTACATTTTAAGCCACTCCTAAATTCTTTTCGTTAGCAAGGCTAAGAACCCCAAAAGGAATAGCATTTCCCCAGCAACAGTATGAGAGGTCAGACATAGTTCTTGTAAAGGCAGAAACCAAAGAGAAACATAAATAAAATGTAGGATAAAATACTCACTTTGCTTTATAAGGTGAATCAGAGCCATAATTTTTGGTTTCCACTAAACTCTCGTATTCTTTAGCCCTAAAGAGAAAAACATTTTATCATTCATTATTAGTTATTTTACAGACAATTATATAATGATACAAAACTTTAGCCTAATCTTTCCTTTCCTGGTACAGTATCACGCTATTAAGTGACAGATTGTTTCATTTTTAAAATCCCTTCCTTAAATGACATCAATGCTATCCTGAGATCTGACTCAATAAGAACACTTCTGAGTTTATAGGTTTGATTAAGTAAAGAATCATGGTGACTAAATATGAAAGGCTATATGATTCCAACAAAACAGTTGAGGTGGCTAACTTTCTATGCACCACAAGAAATAACAGTCTAAATACAGGCAAATAATGTTCATTTAACTTCAAGGACAGGCGGTGCAAAGAAACTCCTCAAAACCTCAAAGACTTGTTCCATTGTTTATACTGATTACACACTACAGATTCATAGAAATCCATGCTGCCACTCCTTTGCTATTATCAATGTTCAAGCTAGTCTAGAGCAGGAGGTGAGAGCTATCATGAAGATAGATCTCATTAAAGCAATGGAGTAATGTTGAGTCAGATATTCTATGCCTGGTTTTCATTTTCTTTTCTTCCTGAACTGGTAGAATGTATACATGTGCTATATGGTCATGTTTGTTTTGCATACTGCTAGATTTCCTTCATTCTTATTTCTTAGTTTTCTGCAAATTCTATACTTTCTATTATGTTATTTGCAAGTTCCATAATGCTTCAGCCTGCTCACTCCTAATTCTGAACTTCTGCAATGAGGTGTATTTTGTTGTTGGTGTTGTTTTGTTTATCTTGGCTATTCCTTTTGTCAGCTCCAGATTTTGTCTTTACCTGTATTTCCATTTTATTCAGATATGACTAACTATCATATGTTTTTCAGGAATAGCTTTTATAGGTAGAATTCCCATTTGATTTTTTTTTGTATGCCCTGTACTTTGCTTTTGAAAACTAGATGTTTGAGATATTATGAAAATTCAGTAAGTCAGACTTACTATATGCATAAAGTTTATTGTCTTGTTATTATTATTTGTTTTGGTTGTACTTTTGTACAGTTTCTACCATGGATTGCCCTGGCTTAAGATCTTTTGAAGTCTTATTTGAACCTGAGCTTTTCCCTGGTAAATGTAGTCACTTTCTGATTATTTTCATATATATTACTGACATGTTTTTACATATTTACATATTCCATACATATTACTAACATATATATTTATTACTGATATATTTTGGTGGAGCAAGTCTTTAATGTCTAGCTCTCTGGAAGGAAAGTATATAGAGAAAGAAAAATGCTTATGGCCACTTGAAAATTCATGGTCATATATTTCAGGCAGAGTAGAAATGGCTTTCAACAATGGCAGACAATGTGCTACAGTTTACTGTATCCTTTTTTTCACCTGTCTGACTACTGAACATCAGTAATTAGAACAGAGGACTTTAGAGAGAAAGTTGTTTTTGCTCACCCTGGAATCATCAAATTATTTACTAACTACTAGAATGTATATGTGGTTGTCTATTATTGATTAAGAGTTGACCATGAGTAAGTGCTACTGTAGTGAGTTCAACCTGACAGAAATTAACCCACTTCATTCTCTAAAATCTTTCTCCTGGAAGTTGCCTGTGAAGTGCAAACATACAGTCTGTCTCCAAGCTTTTGCACACTTGCTTAGGAGGAACATAACTAATACAGTAGTGTGGAGCTGAGTCCTCTTCTGCCACATTCAAAGCTGCAGAGAGGTAATTTGGATATTTTTACTTTTTTTCTCCAAGGAAATCCTTAAGCCAGCTACAGTTGAGTGTTTTCCTTTTTCTCATATCAATCAGTGTGATAAAGCCCCAGCAGGTTAGGCCCTAATTACATGCAACTTCCTCACAGCAGAACTTGAAAACAGGCTGTGGCTCATTTTAAAGTGGTAGTACATTTCCTTCTTCCTGCTTGAAGCAGAAAGGTCTTTTTCTCTAATATTCACTGTGAGAAAACAGTCACACTGTAAAAGGTAAAACTCATAAAAAGTGTAAATGCCACCACAATGGGGTCCTGGATTTTCTACACGGATTCTTTGGTGATTCACATATTACATTTCCCACAGAAGTTTTTGTTCACAAATTTCTGCTCTCATTGTTGTATTTATCTATGCCTGTTTCTCTACCCAATTAGAGAATAGAGATCTGTCCTGATGTGTTAAGGATATAAAAGTTTCCGATTTGTTCAACTTTTGACTCAAAGGGATGCAATGATCACGTGCAAACCTCTTTGTGATAGAACAAAACCCAGATATTTTTAGTAGTTTTGTTCTAAAATTCAGCAAGTTGGGTGAAACAGATAATCCAACTTAAAAGCAAAAATTACAAAAAAACTTTACTGTATTGGTAAAAACTATATATGCACAACTAAGGTAAGAAAAATTCAGTCTTATGAAACAGTATAGGAAAAGACACACACACACACACACACACAATTTAGGTCTTAAAAATTCAACCCTATGCAAACACAAGAAATAAAGAGAACTCATTTATTGAGGTCAATACCATATTGATAGCAAAATCACACCAGGAAACTATATATTTGATCATAAATACAAAATAGTCCTCTTCAAAATGCAAGAAAATGGATCTGAACAATATATAGAAAAGAAATTATATTATACATAGTTTAGGCTAGAAATAAAAGGTTGGTTTAACATTGTAGAACATAGTACACTGAAAAATAGGTGAACTGTATAAAATGTGAATTATATCTCAAAACTGCTATAAACATTATGTGAATATACAATTATACACAAGCTTATACATAATACAAAGTACCACAGGGACATAATTTTAAAAGAATATACCCAAAGAAACAAAGAAAGCAGTAAAGTAAAAAGGGACCAAGATGGCAGGGGAGAGCGCCAGGTGGGGAATGTCGGATGCTATGAAAAGGGAAATGGGAAAAATGAAGAGGTTTTATAACTGGGAAATGGTAAAGGCATCACAGGGGGTATGAACATTGATTAATAATAACACCAAGGGAAGAGTCACAGGGAAATCATATTATATGCTTACCTAAGATTACATATAATACATATGTGCATGTACACATAGGGACATATAGTTTGAAGAAGTCACTCCACCTGGGTGATAATGCTCTATCCACGATCCTTGAAATATCAAACAAAATTCCTAGTATCACTCATGAGAAACATCTTCTACAATTGTTGGTCAGGAGAGTTCAAGACAATATAGATTATTGCCTTTGCCTTTGCTTGTCTCCAGAATTTAAGGTAAAGCCCTATTGCTGAAGAGACAACACATTTCAGACAGGGGACTTGAGGGGAACTGAGTTGGAACTGATCTAGAAGCCTCATCCCTAAGGCTTAGCTTTCATCTAACAGAAGTATTATGCAAACTGCCAAGAGAGAAGGGCAATCAGTAGTCCTATCCAACTATAAAGCCTATGAGACAACAATGATTGAACCTACAAATTATCTACAATGGTGTAATAGTGGAACTTATATGCTAGAGGTAACCAACACATGTCTAATTGGACTTAGGACCTACTCTACAGGATGAAATACATACCTGGTACTGTAAACCTAGCCTACTACATATGGCTAGAGAGACCCCCAATAGAAGAATCTTTTACACCCAGTTTCCTAGCCCAATGCAAGCTCTGTTTTCTAAATAACCCTTCTCATACAGATAAGTGTAGCTTTCACCCCTCAAAGCAGCATTTTTCAAGAGATGAAAACTATTACAGAGATATACACCTGTTCAAAATAATAGAACAATGATTGTGAGATGTCCCATCCCACTCATATGCTTGCATCAACCTAAGGCTCAGGAAAAATTCTATAAGAGGTAGCAGAAATTGTTTGAGAACCAGAGGCCCAAGACACCTCCTGCTGAAGGACTGTGTTACATAGACATGACAAACAAAATACTCCTATGAACTTTCAACAATACAATTACATGACAAAGACTAACATAATGACAATGATTGACATGCCAATGCAGATGGAACATTCTAGGTCCCACCCTTAGATGTAGAGGTACAAGTATTCAATGGCTGCTGAAATGGGGAGAATCAGTTGCCTCCAGGAATGAGCTCCCACATACAATGTCCAATCCCAAGTGGTCAGCCCTGAACATAGGCATATAAACACAAGGCTGAATGGATTCAGTAGGTTACAGACATTGTATGCATGTGTGCATGTGTGTGTGTGTGCGTGTGCGTGTGTGTGTGTGTATATGTGTTTATGTTAGTGTTCTTTTATTGTGAAAAGACACCACAACCAAAGCTACTTATAAAAGAAAGCATTTATTTTGGGGCTTGGGTTAGTTCATGATCACCATGATGGGAAGCATGGCAGCAGGCTGGGCCTGGAGCAGTAATGGAGAATTAACATCCAATCCACAAGTTGCAAAGGCAGAGGCAGAGGCATAAAGGCAGAGATAGACAAGACAGACAGACAGACAAAACACACATACACACACACACACACACACATGCCCACAGAGACACACCTTCTCCAACAATGTCCTATCTTCTACATGAGTTCATGAGGATCATTCTCATTTCAAACCATCACAATATATACAAAAATATACACATGTAACAATAATAATGAAAGAAATTATGAATTGGAGGGGGAAGCTTGGGAGGAGTTGGAAGGGAGGGGTACAAGTGATATAAACCAACACTTTACTAGACAGCTTTCTATAAAACTATGATAGTCAAGATAGCTGAAAGTTAGTCAAATATACAAATTCATGTATTTGTCAAATTATATGTAGCCAGAATGTATAAACATAACTGAAAAATAAAATGATAGTCTACTACTACTCTAAATGTGGAAAATATAAAACACATAATTCATAAAGATGAGAGGTTAAAAAACACACAAAAAGATGCCCAATGACAACAGTCACAACGAGCTGCTATTAGAATATCAGCAATACACAAATCCACTAGAATTAGACTACAAACTTACAACTACACAAGTTAATGCTCACAAAATTGCGGGGCAATCAGAACCTCCATGGATTGATGCTCCAAGAATAAATGGAAACAACTATTGTGGAGGAGTTTGACAATTATACTTCTAGTTATTTACCCAAGAGAAATGAAAACATTAGGTTTGGCCAAAGAGTAATTTGCCATGAACTTTATTAAATGTGTCCTAAACTAGAAACTCAAATTTCTATTAAGAGATAAAGCTAACGATCTCCATCGTTTGAGACATTCATGATAAAAGGTAAGGGTTGGAATGCTTTCTCTCAAATTCTACAGGTAGCAACTAAGAGAGAACTGTATTTGTGTCCTTAAACAGGACCCAATAGTCACTATGTGACACTTAAAGCTTGTGAAGTAATGTACTACATTACCAGCTGTCTGATCTCAGATGTCACTTTGGAGGCTGATGATAAACTATGGGTCTGATAACTCACTTTCCATTTTAAGATATTTCTTGAACTTTTTCCTCTTGCGACAGGCAACCAAATTAATTAAACCCTGTCACAGGCTTTGACACCACATCCAGCTGACTTCTATTTGTTGATTGCTATTGATTTTCTTTGATACTTCATTTAAAAATCAATAGTTGGAAAGAAAAATAGGCTTAGTTTACAAATATTTAAATGTACTATTGTATGCTGGAAGAAACACAAGTTTGGCATGGCCTTGGCATCTAATTATAAGAAGAGCCCTTTAGCAGGTGAAAGCCAGAGCTTCAGATCAATACTCAGTTTTCTTTCTCAATCAAAGAAAGTGGCTATAAATTAGGTTCATTGGTGTTATTCCCAAAGCTTTTTGAAGCAAACAAGTTTAAATGTTCTTTCTTTCATTAAATTAAATGGCCCATCCCTAAGAGCTTTGTTTTATATTTAAGGACATTTATGCTACCTGGAGTTCATCCGCGCCTTTATCTTTTTAGCTTTTTTCTTATTCTTTTGCCGTTCTTCTCCATCTTTCACAGGCTCTGGCGGAGCTGTACTTTCAATCACAATGTCAACAACATATTTCTTCAAAGACAAATGTTCCTGCAAAATAATAAAAATAAAAACGATGACAGTGATATTTTAAAATAATTCAGGATCACTACAGAGAAGTAAATGGGACGTATTATATAAAAGAAACTAAAAGTAATCCCTAGACAATATTGGCTTTCACAAGTGCTTTGAAAAGCACTGAAGAATCTGTTTCTCTTGAGATTTTAATGACTCATCAAACGTTTGGTAAGCATCAAAAGTATTCTATGTTAAGGATTCATGGACACACAGGTGCAATGGAGAAGTTAAAATAATACACACACACACACACACACACACACACACACACACACACACACACACACAAGCACCATACAAGTAACTATTCACCTAGCCATTTAATGTGCTATAGGAGCCTAAGGGAAAGACAAGACTGTTCACAGAGGGTAAAGAGGGAAGGCAAGCAGGTAGTACAGTGTTTGCTGGCCTTCAATGATGAATAGGGGCTGAGCAGGTCCTGGATTTGTATGTGTTCATCTGGACAAGAGTAGGGAAAGTGGAGGAAGAGGAAAGGCAGATCAACTCAGAGAACATGCCAGAGGCAAAGTGGAATATAGTACTGGAAACAGTTTTGGTCTGGCTGGAACACAGAATCTGATTTGTGTCCCATCTCATCTGACTGTAACTACTCTATTTCATGTAATCAACTCCTCTGCCTCTCTCTTCATTCATACCTACACAGCAAAGTTCCAACTCTCTATCTAGCTCTACACCTATTCTGTGTCTGTAGCTACAAAAGATTAATGTATCTCCAGGAGAAACCGTGCCACATACTTTAACTCTTTTATGACATTGTACTTCAAGTACAAATGCCAGGCAGCCAAGCACACATATATTATTAGCTTTTCCACACTCTCATTGTTTTTAGACCCACTTTTCAAATCTCAAATCCTTGTTATTCCTCTCCCTCCCTGCTGATCTTGCAAGCACAGTCCATGCTTCTTTAACTAAGAAAAGTAGCATTATTTAGAAGAGGAGTTGCATACACTCCCATGACCAATTTATCAACCATTCAGTGTGCCTATACCCTTTGTCTTTTTCTCACTATACTATACACACACTCATGATGTGGTTAGGATTAAGACTCTCATATGTACACTAAATATTATCCCTTCTCCCCCATTTACATCTCTATTCCTCTGATTCTTCACACTTTTCCTTTCTACTTAAGTCACTTAAATGCTTTCCATTTAAATCATTCAAAAGACCTTTTTCTTGTCCCCCAGGCTACAAATGTATGGCAGCAGAATATATTGGAAATATAGGCTCTCTGTCTTTACTTAACTCTGCTTTATCTTGAACTCATGAGTCTAGCAAAAGCTTCACCAACCCTAAGCAATGTGCAAACTGTCCTTGTTAGGAAAACAACATCAATGCCAACTCTCCATATGTCTCTTCCACTCTTTGCCCTATAGACCACTTCCTCCTCCCCAAGACTTTCATCACAAGGCTTCTTGACATTACATCATCCTCCTAATCCAAAATAACACATCCATAAACATGTAGGCTGAAACAACCCCACAACTAGTATCTCTGTTTCTAATTCAACTTGTACAAATTTTCCTGTGTATATGTTGTATGTGTATATGCATATGTGTGCACAGGTGGCACAGATGTGTATGTACAAGAACCAGAGGCTGGCTAGCAAGCAAGCCCCAGTGATCCTTCTAATTCTACACTAAATCCCCCAACCTACACCTTGCACTAGGGTTACAGACATGTGTGGCCATGCTCAGCTTTTCTGTGAGTGTCAGGATCTGAACTCAGATCCTCAGGCTTATGCAAGAGCTCTTCCTCATTGAGCCATCTGCCCAGCCTGACTAGGTCTTTTCTCTATATAAAAAAAGTACCAGCTATTTTTGAAAACATAAAGTATTAATAAATCTTAATATTACTCTTATCAAAACTTTGTCAAAGCTAGGTTGATAATTCAGTCAGTATAGTGCTTGCCAAACAAGTCTGAGATCTGAATTCAGTCCTCCAGAAACAACCTCAATAAAAACAAAAACAAACAAATAAAAAACATGGAGTGGTGAGAATCTTATATTCCCCTACTGGGGAAATGGAGGCAAAAAGATCCCTGCGATTCTCTGGTCAGCCAGCCTAGTCTACTCAGCAAGCTCCAAGTCAATTAGTGGCCTTTGTCAAAAGATAAGGTGGATGGCAACTGAGCAGCACAGCTGTTCACATACACGAACAGCTGCATTTACACCTGTGCACTTGTGCAATTTAGCTTCCACAGTAGCAGAGAGTACTGTAAGATGTCAAGTGAGGGATGAAGTCAACAGTCCTATCCAGCTGCAACACCTATGAACCATAACACTGAATAGCATGGTAGAGATAACCAAGTGCTATCTAATTGGAAATAAGATTCAACAGGAGAGAAATCATGTCTGGTGCTGGAAACCTAGCTAACCTATTCATGGTTCTCAGAAGAGAGCCTACTACTGCTACTTTATTAGGCCAGTATATTTCCTAACAAAATTATAAAACAAATTCTGACACTCAAAGTTAAGGATAACTCTCACCCCTCATCGAAGAAGCCTCTCTCTACAGTTTATAAAAAGCCAAGCCCAATGGATATATCTAAAACACAACTCTTGTACCTAAAACTCCAGGAACATCAAGGAAGAGGGGGAGAAAGAGTACAAAAGCCATGGGACCAGGTAATTTCTTATGAAATTGTCTCTCCTAGAAATGACACAGCAGCTTCACCTGATACCTCAACAATATGGGAGTCTAAATAAGGACTTCCATGTCAAGAGATATGATGATGTAGCAGGGACAAACCTCACAGAGTCCTACCCCTAAATAAAAGAACTAAGGACTGCTGAGAGAGGGAGAAGTAGCCTCTTTCATAGGTGACCACCCCTATTAGCACTTCTGATACAATGTGATCAGCCCTGACATCATACATACAAATGACAAAAAGGAACTCAGCAGATTGTATTTATATATTTGTGAATGTGTGTGTGTGTGTAACAATAATAAAGAAAAGGGAATCATCAATTTGAGAGGGAAACACTGTGAGAACATGAGAAGAGTTGGAGGGATGGAACATAGGAGGGAGGATGGGAGAAAACAAAATGATGCATACCTTTCCCCAGGTTGAGGAGGAGGAAAGGATTCACTTTGTATCCTTTTTGTAAAAATCAAATGCTTGTAAGACAAAAGTTAAAGTTAATCTAAAAGCCCCACCTCTTCAAGGACCAGGTAAATTCCTGGAATTCTGGGAGTTGTAGTTCTTGGAAAATGACAGCTGAGCTACATGGGAAAATACAGTGGCCATAAGGGTATGCCTACAAGATGTGTCCTACAACACTTGTCACTGGGCCACTCAGCTGGGAATTCCAGGGAGTGGTCCTGACCAACACCTATCCTGGTGAATATTTAATTAAAGCTTACTTCAAATTTGGCTCAAAATTGAGGAACTAGTTTTTCTCTGGTGAATCCCAGGATTAACACTGGGACACAGTCTACCTTAAACTTGTTATTGTGTCAGAAGAACATAACAATATAATGAGTCCTAATAGCATGCTGCTATACCATAGATGAGTCAGAGAAGCTTCTGCTTGCAATAGATGGGAATTAAGACAGAGGCCTACAACTGGAAAGCATGCAGAGAGACTCCGGAGTCTTAAATCAGATGTCTTCATCAAAGCCCTCCACTGAGGATCAGGGATCTGTGTGGAAGGTGTAGTGGGAAGACTATAAGAGCCAGAGGGAATGGGCGACTCTAAGGAAACACTGTTTTCCAGACACAACAGGACTGTTGTACATATGAATTTGCAGAGGCTTTGGAAGTACTGAAAGGCCTGTAGAAGACAGGCTATTTTCAATACTCTACATCCCTCCTCCTTATACTGCTCATACAGGCTACACTATATACGTCATTTCTATTCCTACAATACTGAAAAGAAATGCCCCAAATGACATCTTTAACTTCATAAAAGGCCCAATTATACTATTTTCAGGTGCATATAAATGTCATCCACATATCTATTAGAGATCCTTAAGGGTCCTCTACCCAATGAAAGACACTATACAAAAAAAAAAAAAAAAAAAAAAAAAAAAACCCTAACTGTAACTGTTGCAAGATATTTGATTATATTAAGTAAAGATATGTCACTCTAATTGGTTTAATAAAAAAGCTGAATGGCCAATAGCCAGGCAGAATTTTGGGGCCAGAGAAGATTGCTGGGAAGAATGGTGGAGACACCAGGAAAGACAAGGGGGCACAGAGGAAGCAGGAAAGCAGGATAGACAGTACATAGATGATGTAAATGAGCCTCGGAAGAATACACAGACTAATATAAAGAATGGGTTAATTTCAGTCATAAGAACTAGTTAGGAACAAGCTATCAGCCAAGCTTTTGTAATTAACAATAAGCCTCCATGTCATGATTAGGGAACTGGCTAGTGGGACAGATAAAGTCTAACTACACAGAACTACCAAGAACCTTACCATTTTAGCCAGGAATAGTGATGCACTCCTATAATAGCAGTACTTGGAAGGCTGAGGTAGGAGGGCTGTCATGAATTTGAAGCCACCTTGGGCTATACTGTAAGTATACTAGGGTAGAGTAAGACCCCGCAAAGGATCATATTTTTAAAATAGGTAATACATTTACATATGTATTGACATGTATAATGTATACACACTAACCAACTTTTTTAAATCTTAAAATTAAAAATAAGAATGTTTTTATTTGATTGACTAAAAATTTTACTCAATAAAGAACCAATACATGTTAATCATAAAATAATTAATAACATTAAAAGGAAAACATCCTATTACTCCTTATTACTCTTAACACCCCTAAATAACTATTATTTTAGAATATCTTCTAGTGATGTTCTCTCTCTCTCACTCTCTCTTTCTCTCTCTCTTTCTGTGTGTGTGTGTTTAACAAAATGGGATGTATCTTAACACTTTATGACCTATTTTTAATTATATATTAAAATATATACTCTTGCCACTGAATTTTCTA